ACATCCGACAAGAGGTGTAGAAGAGACACTGCGACGATGGTGGGGGCGTGAGGAAAGAAAAGGAGCTGGTGGCCGGTAAAAGGGGTGTATCGCGGCTGTTACGATCTTAACACGCCTCCGGATAGCTACTTAGTTGTAATTTGTGTTTACAGCCTTTTGCTTTTTTTTCTTGGGGGGAGCCTATTTCGGGTACCTGACAGGGTTATCCGGGGGCCTCGCGTTGTGTTCCTCTTCCTTAGAGAATTTCAGGACTGTCAACAAGCTATTCTCGATGTGGTCAGCATATTTCTTCACGGCCAAGTCATTAAGTCTCAGTTCGATGGAAGAGATTTGTAGGTATTTTACCTATATTGGATGGTTTTATCTTGTCGTCCTGGCAGCCGTGTGATAGCCGTCCAGGAATCTTGTTTTTTACGTCTGCTCTCTTTGTTTTCTGTGCCGTCTTGAGAATACGCTCGTAAACCGGATTTGATAGTTATTTCTGTGGGAATCTGGTCGGCTCATGTTAGTACCAGTTCAGCCAAACCCTAGCTGAGGTTGGACGCCGTAATCCACCGGGTCTTCGGGCCAGACAAGTAGTCAGTAAACAATTCAGAGTGTTCTCGTTTTTAGAAAAGAAAACTTACAAAAGAGACACTGGAAGCGGACTGAACAATTGGACTTTTAGACTGTTGTCCACCGTCGAGGCACAGACTGGCCATGACGGTAGACTTAGGACCTCGACAACGCTGTCCAGCAGAACGATTGCACTCGCCCCCTTGGCAAATCTAGACGAAACAGAGCTAGAAATAAAAGGGACCAAAGGCGACGCTGGTTTAGTATCGTTGATATGGCCCTGAAGGACGATTGCTCCAGGACATCCAGCCCGCCAGGCCCGTCCATCCGGGCAAAAGAGTTGAGACGGTGAAATCTCCGGCGGGCTGTATCGACACGGATAGGAGGATTAACACTTGGATCAATCGAGCTATATGCAATCGAGCCTATCAAAGTGTCAGGAAAGCAGAGGCGATATGGGAGGTGGGTAAAAACGAGAGTCAGGATATTTCTCTGGCAAAAGACGTCGAGGCTGAGGGGACCGAGGTTTTTGATAGCGAAAATCTACTTGCCAATGTCGCAAAATCGACTTTCGGATATGTGCTCTTTGGCTAAGAGAAGCTGACCTTACAAAGGAAACAAAACAGAGTGAGGATTTGCGAAATAGGGGCAAAAGACACAAAATTTCTGAGGGTCGCGAAGCAACAGGTACGCTTGGTACCTTCCCTCTTGACAAAGAAGCCTTTTCTGCCGAAAGTACCTACGATAGGAAGTCCAGACAGACAATCCGCACCTTCCTCATGAGAAGTTCCACCTCGCGCTTCCCTCATAACAGTGCATCGTTCTTTCCGGACCAAAATTTTGTTCAGGGTTCACACCCCCTTGCCGTTTCTGTCTGCCGTTCCAACTGTCGCTCGTCGGTCGAACAGGCCATCTATTATCCAACATGTCGGAATCACCTTGCATCTACCACTTTGTATTTATATCAATCCGCGTATGCAAAAACACGCCAAGTCCGTCGCTAAAGACTTCCTCCCATGTCTCTGCAGCGTGCACGGCTCCTACTTTCCCACTTTTGTGGCATTTTCTCTCCTACGCACATACGTCCGTATTTAATCTTTTTTATGTTCTTCAGATTCTTATCGGATTCGGGACATGGCGGCGGAGTTTGTCCTCGTAGCCTCTTTCGTTATCCCTCACAAGAGTAGACCATATCCCCGTACCGTGTACATCGACATAATTTACTACCGTCTGTGGCTATATTTTCCTCGCTGCTGTCGTCGTCATCATCGTCATCGTGGTCCCATATCTGTCTAGTTTCGCTAACAGTGTGGTTGCATGTATGTCCCACTTGTTCTCGTCTTCCTCGACCCCCGAAACAACATCACACACAATACCGTTTACCAGGAGTACGGTAGGTTTAACTCTCGGAGAGAAACGTACAAGCGAAAAAATGTGTGAGGTGTGAAGTATCGATTTAATAATAGAGCTTGCCTTGTGTATTTACATGACCGTATCCTTTCCCTCCCCGGCCAATAAATGCACGCCGTGCTTAGAGTTGGGGTAAGCCGAAATATAAGTATAAAATAAACAGAATAATCACTAACAAGTAACTTCACCAGCCTTCTGCATTTTGGGTTTTGCTTCTTTGACGCTGGATGTTATCTGTTGGTCGACAGGTCAAATCTTAGATATTGGCCCCGGATTTGCCTCCTGCTGTCAAAATAAGCTACGCTGGTACATCCCATCTTTGTGTCCCCGGATCTTTAATTCTTGCCCATCTACTGTAGAGCTTCTCAATTTAAACAGTCCGAGGAGATACACATCCACATGTCTCCCTACAGGTTACTTTCCAGCTCCATCCTTTGGCCTAATTCACCTCAAATTCTTCTTATGGCCGTTTATTTACTTTGTCCAGTATACAATGACGTAGGTAGGCTGTTAGAAAACGTGTCATCCTGTTTGAAGCTTAATGTCTAATAAGAAAGGCAGCACAAAATTAAGAATCGAGCAGAAGCAATGGTCGATCAACGAAAGCTATCATTAGACCCCTGCCATGCAGCATTTACGCTTCCAGTGCGGAATACGGTCCGTTCATTCTAGCTTTTCTACCTCCAGACCTGCTCTATACTGGAAAGCGCTTCCGAGGCTACTGGGAAGGCAATATAAACATAAATATAGCAGCACAACCCATGATGTGAACACTATGCGACTCAGCCTGTGAACTGGGCTAGGACCCTGAAATTCCGGAGCGCTCGATCCTGTATTTTAAACAAAATTTTCGGTTTCGTTCAAACCCAATGCACCAAATGCTCGCTACCCATTGATACACAAAATAGATCTCTAAGTAAATAAAGAGGAGACGTCGAAACGAGAACCGGGAAAGGCAACCCCCTCAGAACACAGGAGGCAATATCAGCCCGTTCCCCGTCTATAGAGGGAGGGAGGGAGGGAGCTCATAGCTTCGACCAGAGACCGGGTGATGATGATGACGAGGGGGAGGAGGGAGACGAAGCTGCGACTGTTGACGGGACGCGCACTACAACTGAGCTCGTTCCCTCGGCATCAGCCGCGCCGCTGTCCAACACCACCTCCTCGCAGTCCTCGGGCCCCACACCGTTGGCAAACTGGAAGACGAAGAAAGGCAACGATGTGCCAGTGGCGCCCAACGCGGCCATGGGGGCATGCCATGTCGCGGCGCCGTAGGTGACGGCCTGATCGCCGCGAGCCACAAAGGCACGCAGGCCGCGGACGTCTGGTGGGTTGTTGCGGGTCGCATCCGGCAACGTAGGCGCCACAATCACCAGGTAGCGGGTATCCGCGGCCGAGTGCTGCGACAGCGGCACGAAGGTCTGGGTGGTGTAGGGATGGCGCTCCAAAATGGTCACGGGAAACCGGCCGCCCTCCAGCAGTGTACGGGCCCCGCAGACAAACATGCTGGCCAGGGGCTCGGATGGCATACCGCTCGGTGCCTTGCCCGAGGCATAGCGGTCGGCGAGCCCAGAAACGCGCTGGTACTTGATGGCAGAGCCCTGGTTGGCGGACACGGGATGGTGCAGATAGCCTGCGCCGGAGGATCCAAACGCTTTCGCAAACTGCGACGGATGCACGTCAGGGCGCGGGTTCTCAATAACGTCGCCAAACGGCGCAAATGCGGCGGCCGTCAGCGGCTCGGCGGGCACAGCCAGCCGCAGCGCCGCAACGTCGAGCCTGTCAGGCATGGGAAAGATATGCTGTGGAGGGAGGTGGCAAGACGCAGATGACGTCGCACGTATTAGCCGTCCCGGCTGGAGCACCCAGGCTGCTGGATTTCTCAATCGGATCACGTCCCGCGGATTGTTTCGTCTCGTCTTCTGCGTCGCCTCGTTTCGTCCGTTCTTTCGAGATTAGCCTCTGTCAAATTTGTGCCAGAAAAGTAGCCTGTTTCGTCCCAAATGTCGTTGAGTCTGCCAAAACGCGAATTTTTGGCGATGCTTCTCCCGTCGTCGATCAATACGACATATCCGGCTACCCAATGTGCTGGCTGCGTTGCTTGCGTCCCGCTTTGAAATAATTAGATGGGAAACGTCGGTGCCACGGAAAAAGCACCCACCGGTGGTAGCCCCAACTCAAGAGTAGAATCACTTACTTGGGAAACAACTCCGTTTTAGGCAATTACCGAGGCTCGCTCCTTCCTTAAAAGAAAAAAACAATAATTTGATCAAGTCATTATTTGTTAAAAGATAATATAGTAATACCCCTTCTACGAGTGCTACTTGTCTTTATTTAATATTTTCGAATGTTTTTGCTGTTTTATTGATTTTTTGTTATTGTTTTTATTTAGGAAAAAAACCGTACCTCAATAAAATGCACCATTGTCAAACGCAGTAATGGGGCAAAAGGTTATATGTGGGAGCAGCAAGGCAAGAATGATCGTCACTCTTTCTTAAATGATGCGCCCACCTTACTGGGAATGAGGCCCCTATTCTAAATCCAAGAGGAATTATCGTAGTCCTGTATTCACTCGTAACAGTTCGATTCAATCCGAATGAAACAACACCAACCTGGATAAATGAACAAACCGAATTGAATGAAGGATGCCCCTCGAGACAGCAAGTGGAAGCCCCTGCATGACGTCTTGTTTGACAGGCAGGATGGCTTGCCGGAACGGATAGAAAAAGCTCGACTGTGTGCTTTCGTGAGAAAGGAACTGTCAAACACTGACTTTAAGACGAAGTTGCTCGCCTCTCTGGTCAGACAACAAGTTGCATGCGACTCTGCGACTCCCCGCAAGCACGATAGATCGAAGAAGACATGCATTTCCATGTGAGCCCCTGGAAAGCTCTTTGACTGTACCGTTTTCGAAGATGCCTACTGACGATGAGCAGAATCGACTCCAGGCAAATACACACGTCGCCGGCCACGTATTGTTCATGACATAACATTCGGAAGTGTTGGGGATTGTCTTCACCGACACAATTGTGATAATGCGAGGAGGCATCGGCCAATTTTCTTACCGGCTCGACATCCGTGATAATGTCATCATTGTTACGCCGAATACGCATCCCAACGAAACGTCTGTCCTCTTCCTTCTCTTCTTCCTGTGCATCGCCGTCGTCGTCCTCGCGTTCGTTGCACTGCTTTGCATCAGCTGCCGGGTGAGGAAGATAAATAAGCACAGCAACTTGCAAAACTCGCCGTTGCAATCCCCCCACGTGGTGCCAGGCAGCAGTCCCCAAGTGCAGCTAATGTCTACTACTGTCACCATCACTGAGCCGGTCCCCGCTCGGCTGAAGCGGCCTAAACCGATCATGCCTAAGTCGATGACGAGGCGTGACGAGGTGCGTGGCCAGCAGCGCCGACAGCGATACGACTCCAGCGATCAGCGAGCCATGCACGCGATTCACGCTTACGAAGGACATTACGCCAGAGAAAATCGAAAGGATCACGAAGGGCGCGAGGCTTGACAATGAACGGCACTTAGCGGCCACGAGCAGGCAAGACTATCGATATTGCAGAACGCGTGACGCTTGGCAGCTTAAGACAAACCGCTTGCAAAAAGAAAAAAAAAAGTCTCCTTGATGCCTTCCGACACCGGTGTGGCTTGGGACATGTTACATGCACAAACGGAGAAGGTACCCCAGATTGTATCCCCGAGATGGATAAAGCCAATAAGAAGCGTCGGCGGTATGACTCTTAGTCCAGGCCGAAGAGGTTTTCATAAGACGGAGCCTTTGATGAAGAATGCCGCTTACAGCAGTGCGATCGTCCCGTTGACGTGGACGCCGCGAATCCATTTGTTCAAAACCCCGGGCTCATTTCTCACATCGATGTTTCCCTCCTTTGCATTTTGTTGAGCTTTTGAGGACCATGAGATCTGATCAACAGCAGACAATGTTGCGAAGGCGCCAGAATTCAACGTTAAAACGAAACCAAGTAGTGGGACGCGTGCAAACACGACAGTGGAGCTGCCTAACGCAGCGAGAGATTTCAGCACGTTGGCTTTCTGGGGCCATTGACCAGGATCCAGTCGCCTCGCTCGGAACCTTCCTCAACTCTCCTTCCAAGTCCGATACCACTCCGGAGCAGAGATCAGCAAGCGGGGACTCCTGCCGTGCGCGCCATGGCCCTAAGCTCTAGCATGTGTATCGCTCTTTTTTTCTCCTTTTTTCTTGGGTGTGACACGACACGAAGCCGCATGCATGAGAAAAAAAAAGCAAGAAGACGGAGAAAATATGAATTGGATAAAAGAAATATACAAGTATGCAGACAGTCGCGAATTCAAGACGCTATGAACTGTGATTCTGCTCGTGAAGCTTAAAACCATTGTGACAATTGCTTCTTCCCCTCGTGAACTACGACAGCACTGTCCCCGCGACGAGACATATATGATCACAGCTTCTCTGTAAGAGTCTACCGCTGACTTGAACCTGCTCACAATGGCCGATCTTGTCCCGACCGAAGCAAGAAACCTGCTCCAGGACCTATCGGGTATCGTCATCCAACCCGGGGAAAACCCCTACCTAGCCCTCATCAACGCCTGCGACAACGACCCGGCCAAGATCCAGAAGCTCTACGAGACGCACCGCACGCTGCGCAACCAGCAGCAGCGCGCAAAATTTCTGGATCCGGCCTTTACAGAGGTCCTGGTCGACCCGTTCCTTATCCGCATCGAAAACCCCAGCATTGATCCGTCCTTTGCCGACCCGCGGCATGGCCTTGTATTCTGGGCCCGCCCTCCAGAGCACGTCCTGCAGCTCACCGCCCATGTGCAGAGCCTCCTCCAGAAGGCCGCCCCTCGTGGGCTGTGGCTCATGCCCACGAACCGCCAGCACATGACGGCCCTCGAAATTACCCACTCCAAGACGCCCGCGGAGGCGTTTGCCGTCGTCGACAAAATGGCCAAGTCCATGACGCAGGCGACGGCGGACGACGGCAGCCTCACTGCGGAGTCGGGCATTGCTTCGATTGTCAACTACCCCTATGCGCACCGCGCGCGCCTCGTCAAGCCCATGCTCTCGTACGACCTGTCCGCCGTGGCGTTGTCCTTTGTGCCGGCTGCCGGCGAACCCAGGGCCTCGCCGGCGCCTATCCCGCCGGCGCAAAACACCGTTGTTGACGCTGTTGATGCTGTTGGCGATGCCTACACATACCACCATCTGCGGCGCGACCTGTTTGACCGCGCCCAGGCCACCGGGGTCGAGGTGGCATCGCGGTACGTTGTGCCCAGCGCGCATATTACGCTGGGTCGGTTCATTGGACAGGAAGACCATGCCACGCCCGAGGCGCGCCAGGCGTGGGTGGACACGCTAGACGAGATCAATGCGTGGCTGGAGAAGGAGGTATGGGACAAGGTGTGGGAGCTGTCGGAGACGGACAGCGACATTGCGGGAGTGAGCGGCTACCGGAAGCCTGACCTGCCGCCCCCGCACCGCCGGCTGGTGGGTGAGTGGGTGGTCGGTCAGGAGCGCGGGCTTGATGCGCGGACGGGTGCTCTGTGGTACGGCGGTGGCCGGAGCGTCATGGTCGGGCAGGGCTTCTGAAGCCAGGGCCGCACTACCACTGTGGTAGATGCGAGTTATTTCCCCAAACCGTACATCCCTGAGGTGGAATAGACAGATCGACCGAGGAGCTAGAGGGTTATGAAGGATAGACGTAGTGGAGTCGAGTCAAAAAAAAAAGCGACAGTCGGACCGTCAGTCGCAGAAATGTACGTAAATTTTCAAGTGTTTTTATTCGTTTTTATTTCTGTCTTTGTTATTTTTGGTTGTTTTTATGTTTCGTAGCCCGTGTACATTACAAAAGAACAAAACAATTGTAATGGAAAGAAAAGATACAGACCGGACACACGAAATCCCAAATCCTCACGACCCTGTCCCATACCAAATTTTGATTATTTTTTTGTGCTTGGCTATGTTCGTGTCCCCAAGGGTGCTCCCGTAAAAAAAGAAAGAACACCAATGATGCTCATCCCCGTTGCAAGAATGCAATAGCAAGAAAACAGAAAGGAAGGCTGTCATGAGACAACCCGTTCGGTTAATTTGCGCGGCCCTCTGCCGAAATGTGTGTAACCTTGAAGGGTCATTGGCGAGGATTTCGTGAAACTTGGTCGGTTCTGGGCGAGTTTATGGGATCGGAAGAGCGAGCAAGCGGAGAGTGTGTATGTGTGACAGGCAAGAAGAAAGGCAATTCTACTGCTGTCGAGTATCTCCTCGGTGTGCGCGCATTATTGTGGCGCGCACGAGAGAGGGAGGGCGGGAGAAAAGGAGGAATAGACAAAAGCAAAAAGGCGTGAATGCAGGGAGACAAATGCAAAAGAACAAGAAAGGTTGGCAGCAGGCGATCCGTTTAGAACACCAGAGCGGCACCCTTTGTCTTCTTGTCACCACTGGAAATGTTTGTTAGCGAAGCGGTTCTCGAAATGAGGGAGGCGAAAAGTATGAACGTACCCGAGCTCGAAGTGCTTGGTGCGCTTCAGCGGCAGCTGCTTCTTGGACTTGCATGATGTGCACTCGAGACGCAGCACGATCTTCTTGGTTGTCTTGGCCTTCTTGTGGAAAATCTGCTTCGTCTGACCACCGTAACCAGACTGCTTACGGTCGTAACGACGCTTACCCTGCGCGAACAGGCTGGCCTTGCCCGTCTTGTACTGGGTGACCTTGTCTGTTCTATGTTAGCCTTCCGTCGCTATGCCGCTATCTGTTGTTGACTTGCATCCCTTTCCATCTGGCACTCGGTAGGACTCGGTGTGGCTTGCTTTCATCGTCGTCCATACGTCGAGTCGTTGGGTTCTCCTGAAGGTATCAGAGTGGCGGGAGCCCCTCATTTGACGCTTCAAGTCCTCGCCGCCAGACTGTCCTCCGATGTCGTGTGCCGTCGGTGTCCTCCTTATGCCAGATGGGATGCGTGTCTTTTCTCCAGGAAAACGTGATATACGTACGCTGGGTGTGCTTGCGGCACTCCTTGCCCTTGCCTGTACAACAAGAAAAATCACAGGTTAATATCCAAATCTCTCTGTCGATAAACATTTGTCGTCGAGGAGGAGGGAGGGAACGGTGGGAGTCTGTATTCAGTCGTCGGTGTTCGAAAAGGGAATGTGAACGCACAGTAGGTCTTTCTCGTCTCTATACACGAAACATTGTTAGCAATCAAATCTATCAACTTGTCATGGCCACGCCCTCCACAAAGCCTTGATCCTCCTTCCCATCGCCAGCATTGCCAATCGGCACTACCGTCACCGTCGCCGCTATCCGTCCCACGCATCGTGGTTCGACAAAACCTGGACTTGGAGGATGTATGTTTTCATTCGCGACTGGGCGGGAGTTGGCGGTTTCGGTGACGGCTTGCTGGCTGTATATTTTGTCCTTCGTCCTTCTTGTGTGCTTTGGATTGCCGTTTCAACTACTTACTCGGAATGTTGACCATCTTGGCGGTTGTTACTCGGCTGGAGTCGTTGTCGTTGGGTGTGATGTGATGGTCGTGAAGTGTCGATTTTGCGGGAGTGCAAAAGAAGCCTACTGATGCTGGACATAGAGGGTTTTTTTCGCACACAGTATCTAATTTTTCCGAACTAAAAAAAGTTTGTGCGTTCCGACAGCCCCAAAGAAAAAAGAGGGGAGTGGAAGGGAAGAAAATATTATTGTGGCGCGGAGCACGACCGCCACATTCGGAAATTTACGTAATACAGTGTCATTGACAGTGCGAATTCTATATATTATATTACATACTGTTAACTCTGTCGACAACTATCAGGCCGTCCCCAAAAATGAACAGGGCTAATCTCCACATCTCATGTTGATTGCCGTTGATCGCAAAAGCCATGCGCTCGCATTTGTCCGGAATTATCTGCACGACACGCAATTTCGGGGTTTTATTACTTTTGTCTCCCACAAAGTGCCAGCGGATGTCAGCGGCCGTGCTATACCGGCAGACCGGCTCCTTCCTCTTGGGAGGCAGCTTAGCAGGCTCGCAGGATTCCTGCCGTAAATTCAACCGTCTGGCCCTGAATATTTGCTCTAGTAGTCTCAACAGCCTTGTAGAAGTTGTCAACACTGCATCGTAGTTGACACTGTGGATGTTGCAATGGTTGACGTCTGCGACTGGCTACATTTTGATAGAAAGCAGTCCACCACAACCTTAAAACGGTCCTGTCTTACGACGCGCAATTTTGGGCAGTCCGAGCGGTGCCATGGTCTCCCATCACGGTCTGGAATTAGCCGGTGCCTGGTTCCTGCATACAAATCACGTCTACAGATGACATGCGGCTCAGAGCACATGGCCTGGTGTGACCTCCTGGCCTCCCTGGCTTACTGGCCGGCTAAGAACCACAAAGTGTGATCCAGCGCCTCTTGCGGCCATTACTGCGTTGTTTTGGGCCGGAGAATGCCGCTGTTTACGGTTGAGATGCTCCTTCATGTCGAATCTAACCAGATGATTCTCTTCGGCATCACCACCTTGGGAATGGTGGGGTGGCGATATATTATCATAACCATGATCTCGTTCCATGCAAATGCAGGATGCTATTCGGTCCTTGCGCCACTTCTTCTCGTTTTCTTTCCCATTTGCCGTTGTGGACGACTCGTTAGTCGGTCGTTTCGCACTTGAATTTCCATGAAGCAGCAATCCGCACACCATAGATAATGCTCCGTAGTCTGACACAAACATCCCTGCGATCCCCACGCCAAAACCCGGTACCCCTAGCGGTCGCATTCTATGAGCACAATGATGACCGAGTGGGTGTGATCAGTCCGGTCAAAAATGTCCGGTCTAGATAGTGTACGTCGTTGGGGGCGGCCAGTGAGAATCCGTGGCGTTCTTAGTCGACTCAAGAAGGGGGTCCGGGGGATGCTTTGCCCTCTCACAGAGCACCGTGTCATAACATCACCTATGTACCCATCGACTTCGGACAGAAAGAGCTAGGTCACATTGGTGTATTGTTATTTTGAGTTGGTGCTTTGACTTCTGGGTGGATTCGATAGTGTCTGTTGGCTTCGAAAGAAATGCAACGGTAATATATCGTAAGTCGGTTATCCTCGTCGCAATGGTTGGCTGTAGGCCCTGTGTTCATTGTTCTCAAGGTGTTCCTTCATTGTTCTTCTCCCTTGCCTTCTCCCTTTGTCCCTCCTCCTCTCCAAGCGCCTATCAAATCATTCAACTCTCGTTGCATCTCCCTCCCTGTTCCCAAAGGCATGCTTTCCCAAAATGCGGCACTCCTTTCCAACATACATTCACGCTGGCGTTCGGCTGACTGGGATAGAAGACAGGCCAGGCTCGACCAGGCCTAGAGCCAGACCAAAAGGGCCACCTGTCGTGGTCAACCCCTGTAATAATTACATTTCGAATATGGGTGAGATACGATAGAGCAGGAACAACAGCTTTCTGGTAAAAGAGGAGAAATGCGCATTGTGGCTTCGCCGCGCCGAAAGGACCACCCCCATGACAGAATCGTTGCCGATCTTCAGGTCGTCCGTCCCTGACAAAGGGCCCACTGGCCCTGGCCGTTTCTCCACAATCGAACTCGGATTGTTGTGGTTATGTGTGAGTGCTTCCGTTTCGAGGAGAGTAAATAGCTAGCAAGAGATGGATGATGCCGTGGCACTTGGCCAACGTATGCGTACGGGCGTAGAGGGCGGAGGATTTGTGAGATGGAGCGAAAATAAGGAAGAGAGAAGAAACAGAGGAGGATAGAAGAAACAAAAGATCTGAATTGGGACACTCTCCCGTACTCTGATTTCTTTTCTATGGAGGGGACGTCGGTCGGCCCAGATGTTGGTAAGCATGCTTTCCATGTACGCCGTACTGAAATTGAAACATGGCACGTTTTGCGCGTCGCTTGATTATGACCGTAGCATTACTGTGTCGTCAGTGATAACGGCGGAGACGGCTAGTAGAAAGGAAGCGAAGACGAACGGACGAGATGCGACGGAATGCGACCTCCTTCTTTAATCCACTGCAACGGCCTATTGCACCTTCCCTGCATCAGTCCCTCATTTTCGGCTGGTTGTTCCTTCCCCGTGTCCAGTCCCTGCTTGCCTGTTTTAGAACAGACGATGCTGAGGTTCGCCCACTGGTCTTTCCTCGCCCAGTTTGATATCCTTGTCGTAGTGCATTTCTGCGTCTTCACCTGATTCTAGCTCTTCTATCAACAATTCCCTTTAAAAACATCGTCTCGACAACGCCGCATAGAACGACTCCATCCCACCAAGAGCGCCACGGCGCTGCACCGTTATACGCCCCCAAGGCCCCTCTCGCCCACAAAGTACAGGCGAATTTTCTTTTCGAATCCAGCGCCGCCTTGGAGATCATCGACGCCATCGCCACCGCAGCTCCCTCTGGCTTTTGCTTCGCTTCGCTGGTCCACTGGCCCCTCTCTCAACCATATTCGTCGCTTGGTGCACTCTCAACCTCCTCCAGCAATTCCGCTGATACTGCACCTGGCCAAGGAAGAGCACCCTGCTCGCGCTGTACGGGCACAACGTCAAGGGCTGCTAGTCATCAGATGCGCAATCAAGGACATCTCAGCCCCAACACAGGCACAAGCTTATCTTGCAACGCACCGGCAACCACGGACTTGTTTGCCTGTGATTTGGATAGCCTTTAGCAAAGTACTACCACGACTGCTGAAGCTACAACATACGCGGTGCCCCATCGACATTGTGTCCTAGCTTGTGCTCTTCGCACTAGTCTACGGACACCGCAGACCTCGCAAGTGGAGCCTCTAAACTCCTGTCGCTCCTCTCAGACTCCTCAATTGTCGTCCATACCCACACAAAGCAACCTTCCCCGCGGCCGCCGCTTTGTCTTTCGTTCTCCCTCGCTTTGATTGTCTTCCGCGTCTTTCATTCCTCTTCCGTCGCGCCATCTCACTATTCCCATTGTTGTCCGAGTATATTTGCATTCCTCTCTTCGTCTGTCATTTCTGGCTCTCATTTACTGTTGCATATCAGCAACATCCGTGCAGCTGTTCCGCATCCCCGCTCACCGCACGCTGCTCTGGCCCGAGAATGGTAACGGACCAACGGACGCCCTATCTGACTTCCTTGACCTGCCATGCGCAGCGCAAAGAAATCGGGTTGACAAAGTCCCGGACGTGAGCTGCTCCGGTTGACACTTGCGCACAGTTTCCAACTATTCACTTTGCGTCACTCGCTGGCGGAACTCCAGGCCAGCTTGCCGCGCCTCATAATCGGCCATTGATGTATTCAACCAAATGGACCGCAACGTACAAAGGTGATCGACCGGGAGCCTCTGACCACCAAGTGTTAGCTTCCTCAGCACATCGCCTGGTCGATTGTA